GTGGGGGTGAGTGAGTGGAGGTGAGAGTGGGGGTGTGAGTGAGTGGAGGTGAGTGAGTGGGGGTGAGTGAGTGGAGGTGAGTGAGTGGAGGCGAGTGAGCGAGCGAGTGAGTGAGCGAGCGAGCGAGTGAGTGAGTGAGTGCGAGGGTGAGTGAGTGAGTGAGTGAGTGAGTGAGTGAGTGAGTGAGTGAGTGAGTGAGTGAGTGAGTGAGTGAGTGAGTGAGTGAGTGAGTGAGTGAGTGAGTGAGTGAGTGAGTGAGTGACTCAGTGAGTGAGTCAGTGAGTGAGTGAGTGAGTCAGTGAGTGAGAGTGAGAGTGAGTGAGTGAGTGAGTGAGTGAGTGAATGAGTGAGTGAGTGAGAGGGTGAGGGTGGGTGAGGGCGAGGGTGAGGGTGAGGGTGAGGGGAGGGTGCTGGTGAGGGTGAGGGAGGGTGAGTGAGTGCGTGAGTGAGAGGGTGAGGGTAGGGTGATGGTGAGGGTGAGGGAGGGTGAGTGAGTGCGTGAGTGAGAGGGTGAGGGTAGGGTGAGGGTGAGGGTGAGGGTGAGGGTGAGTGAGTGAGTGAGTGAACGAATGGACGAAAGACTGGACTGAAGTTAAAAAGCTGAGAATGTGATGAAATGAGATGAGATGAGCTGCTATGAAATTAAAGTAATGAAATAATGAAGTAATGAAACAATCACGTAGTGAACGAATGAATGAATGAATGAATGAATGAATGAATGAATGAATGAATGAATGAACGAATGAATGCATGAATGCATGAATGAATAATGAATGAATGAATGAATGAATGAATGAATGAATGAATGAATGAATGAATGAATGAATGAATGAATGAATGAATGAATGAATGAATGAATGAATGAATGAATGAAATGAATGAATGAACGAATGAATGAATGAATGAATGAATGAATGAATGAATGAATGAATGAATGAATGAATGAATGAATAAATGAGTGAATGAATGAATGAATGAATGAATGAATGAATGAATGAATGAACGAAATGAATGAATGAATGAATGAATGAATGAATGAATGAATGAATGAATGAATGAATGAATGAATGAATGAATGAATGAATGAATGAATGAATGAATGGAATGAATGAATGGAATGGAATGGAATGGATTGAAATGAAATGAAATGGAATGAAATGGAAATGAAATGAAAATGAAATGGAAATGAAATGAAAATGAAATGAAAATGAAAATGAAATGAAATGAAATGAAAATGAAATGAAAATGAAATGAAAATGAAATGAAAATGAAAATGAAATGAAATGAATGAATGAAATAAATGAATGAAATGAAATGAAATGAAATGAAATGAAATGAAATGAAAATGAAATGAAATGAATGCATGCATGCATGCATGCATGAATGAACGAATGAATGTATGAATGAATGCACTCCTTTTTGCCTTACAGAGCTGGCCCTGGGCTTGTGGCAATAACTCTCTCGCTCTCTCTCTCTCTCTGTCTGTCTCTCTCTGTCTCTCTCTCTCTCTCTCTGTCTGCCACTCTCTCTCTGTCTCTCTCTCCCTCTCTCCCTTCTCTCTCCCTCTCCCTCTCCCTCTTCCTCTTCCTCTGCTCTCTTTTTCTTTTTCTTTCTCTTTCTGTTTCTCTTTCTTGTTCTCCTTCTCAGTCTCCTTCTCCTTCTCTGTCTTTCTCTCTCTTTGTCTCTTTGGGAGAGAGAGACAGAGAGAGAGCGGCACCCCGGTCGGAATCTTCAGAGTCGAAGCCATTGGCAGCTCGCGGGGACAAACAAACGCAAAGGTGTCGGCCTGAGTCTCGTGAAACCCGCCCCGCCGCATCCAGTCCAGCATTGCTTGGTGCACCTGCGCTTGGGCCTCATGTGCTTGAAACAGCCTCACACATGCAGAATTCGGGACCGCCAGGACCGCCAACCCACTGTCACGTTTCCACCTTTTCCAGCTCCACATCTGTGACAAAGGCCCACAACTGCTCAGTTTGATGGCCGCCAGCTGAGGGTGAAGAGATGAGCGACGGGTCGCCTCCGTGCGAGCAGAGCAGCACGTGAAAAAAGACTTGCAAGACTTCTCCACATCCAGCGGTCCATTGTTGTCAACCACAGCATAGCTGCCACGCCCGTCACACATCACTGTCACACTCAGCTCGCGCAAGTCTTTCAAACCACGACAATGATCCGAACGCCGCCACTTCCCAGGGGGACAAGACCAGTCTTCACCTTTCTGCTGCTGACATGACATAGTTGGAGTTATTCTGACTGAGTCACGCGACTCGCTTGCTTCATTGACGCGCACGCCAAGCCTCCTTCAGCACAGGAACCAGTGCACCTGCGAGCTGTTGGTGCCCGAACTGTCTTGCCACTTGGGCCGAACAGGGTCGTGGAAGAAAACTGCCTGTCAGGGAGGGGCGCCACGCCTGACCTTACTTGAGTGACAGGGCAAATCAAAGTCAGAGCGCTTGATCCACACACAGCAGAAAGAACACCCGAAAACAGTCAGTCAACCAGTTGTGAGCCACAAATCAAATCAAGCAACGCAGCGTCAGCCGATAGTCTCGAAGTCAGTCAGTCCTGCCTTTGCTCATCACACCTTGCCGAAGACGAACCGCCCTGAACTGGCGCCACGCCCCAGAGAGTCGTTGATGGAGGATTCACTCCTCGGGTGACAGCAGAAGCGTTTGCTTTGCGCACGATTGGGCCTCGCGCGCAGGTACTCCATGGGAATGATATTGGCACTGGAACTTGCAACAGCTTTATGTCAACGGCATCAAAAGATCCATCTTCAGTTGCGAATAACGGCCACGCGGCCCACAAGTGTGCATCCATGTCTTGCCACTTGTCGACTGCCCAGTATTCTGCCCGCAAGAGAGAGCGCTCGCGGTCCGTCTCCCAGATTGTGCTTGAAACACCTGCGCGTACCAAAAAGGGTACGCAAATTCAACGGCGCCCTGAATCAGTGGAGACAGCTGGCTCGGGATCAGGTTCGGCGCCCAAGTTGGGCACATCAGTAGCATCAATCTCATGCCTGACTGCACCTTTTCCTGCCGCCAGAGCTGCAGCACAAACACACTGCGCAGTGATGTCATTGAACTATAACACACTGCGCAGCAATGTTGGATTGAGCCCAACAGCAGCAGTCACGTGTGAACGCACGCAACGTCGCCAAATGTGAAATGTCATGCGCGCAATGTCATCGTTAATGCCTGAATTGCCACCGCAGCTTAGTTGTGACTGAGTGAAACTGAAATTACAGGACTACCTGCCTTCGTTGAGTTTTGATTCGTCAGTGCGCAAGCAACAGGGAAGCGGTGCTGAATCACAGCTTGCGCAAAGCGCAAGTGTGCACCCCTGCTGCGTCGCAACCTCATGCGCAACCGCGGCTGAAGCAGTGCTGCAGCGTTGCCTCAAGATGACGGAAGGAGCATTTCATTGTAATGTTCCGCCCTGCAACTTCTTTGTCTAGTGGCTCAAATGTCACGGTGCCTTGCTTTTGCGTGTTTTGCGGACAGTGATAGGGGTGGGTTTGGAAAAAGGGACGCAGTCTGAGTCCTCTTTGCCAGTCCGCCATGACTGCTTATGCGAGTGCTCCCAAGTCGCAGCCAGAAAGCGCTACGCGTCCAATCAGCAGGCTGTCACTTTGCGACGTCCGCGGCTGTGCCGCAACAGGCATCCTGACACAGCCGTGCGTGGAGCAGAAGGGAGACATCGTGCTACTGCTTCACTCGCTGGCGACGCGCTACTCGGGTCAGACACGGCGCCTCAACTTGAACTGAGCCCTCGACTGGCGATCGCTACAGCACAGTATTACGAATTGGTCTCGCGCAGTGTCCACGTATTTGTTGGGCGCCAGCCCTTCATGGCGGTTGGCGCCCTGCAATAAGTTGCTTCAGATTCAGATTATCAAGCAACAGAGTGCTTGGCTCATGCCACAGCTTTTCCGGCGTCGCTTTTTTCTTTCCTACTCAGAAGCGAAGCAGTGGTATATTCTGCGAGCAGCACAGTGGTCCGCAAGAAAGCCATCGTATGGAACAGAGTTGGAATTGTTGCGCAGAAACAACTGCGACTCGTGTCCCGCACAGTGCGTGCCTTCGATGCAAATCGGCCGCGCTGCTTTGAGTCTTGGTCTGGTAGCACTGCAGCCATGCTGGCCAAAGAGGGTGAGCCGAGCGAGCGCAGACAGAGGCATCCAAGGATCTTCATGTTGCGTCTGCGTCTGATAGTTTATTCGCAAACTGAACCACTCATCTATTCCCCGGTGACACGTGGCCTGTCAGATCCAGGAAACGTAAAATTCAAATTCCCCTCCGCTCAGTTGGCAGGCTCGCTACGACGTCTGGACCGCAGCTCCCCATTCATAGACACCACAAGATCCAGTGGTTCCGCAAGCCTTGGAGAATTTACCTCTTCACTTTCAAAACGTTTGGTCATCAGCAATGGGGGCCATCACTGTCCCCAACGCCAACACTGGTGCGCCGCCTGTCATGCCACTCATCCAATCCCGCACGTCTGTCATCAGTACTGTTGCCTCAGCGTCAGAAACGCAATCAGGTTGGGAAATGGGAAGGTCCGACATCCTGCGCCAATCAATGCTGCAAAGTTCAATGAAAACAGGTTCAAGCAAATTTCCACAATTTTTTGCGGGCTCGCATCCGGTAAATCGAGCGCCCCGAATTGAAGACCCCGTGTTCGACTTAGAAAAAACTGCACGTTGGCAGCTCCAGCTCAAAAATCGCAGTTTGTCACTTCACACAATCGTGCGCGAGGCGCGCGTTGGCAGCTCCGATCGCAACTTTTCTGCGCAAGTGTAGTTGACACGACCTTCACTTTGTTCGCGACGATTGCCGCATTGGCACTCAAGTTAATCTGACAGCATTAATTCTTGTCAGCGTTGCTCAACTCGTTCGGAACCCTCGCTGGCTGACTCAGGCTTCGAAGCCTGCCTTTGCGAGCTTGCAGTGACACTGCGGGCAGGAAACGGTGTCTGCGAACAGGCTCCCGGCCCGACCAGCCTGCGTCACTCTCTGCGGCACGGTCCGCGCGGTCCACGCGGTCGCCGCGTTCTGCGCGACTTCGAAGCGCAACGCCGGAGCCATCAGCCTGGCGTGTGGTGCGTGGGCAACATGGAACATCTAGCAATGCAGTGCGCTCAGGGTCCCAGACTCCCAGGTTCCAACAAGTCAGAACAGTTCCAGCTGTAACGAGCGCGAAGCCACAGAATAAAACGGCAAGCCAGCGACTGCCAGTTCAAACCAACGTGGTGCGTCCGGCGGAGGCGAGTAGTTCGAGCGAGTGGTCTAGAGTTGCAAAAGGGGCAGGAGAATTCGTGCAAGGGGTAGGGGGGAGGGGGGGCACCACTCGACAAGAAGGACTACAATCAAGAGCAATGCTGATGGACCTGGCTGGTAGTCGTTGAAACACATGTCTTTTGCTGCGAACAGGGAGTGGTCCTGGCGCATGAAGATTGCCCAAATAGGACGAACAACAAGAGCTCATGATTGCTGGGCTGAGCAACGGCAAAAAGGTTGTTGCGGCTCCTCTGACTCATCCAGCAGTGGTTGGCTGAGTTCGGAAACTTGGGCACAGTGCGGGTGTAAACAAGGTTGAGGCCACCAATGGGCTCCTGAGGTGTGCCGTGGCATGTTTGGCAATGAACATGCCAAAAGTTGCTGCCAGTTGCCCATGCTCCATTTTGGAAAGAGTTCCTGCACGTGTTTTCCAGTGCGCGAAGAGGCCTCGCTAGTGCGCATGGAGCAGTCGGCCAAGGTGTCCATTGAGGGCCTTACCCTGAAACTGTTGGACAATGAAAGCCCTTGTAGTCGTAGTTTGCTTGCGCTGCTCCGGTGAGTTTCAGCGGCAAAGAAGTTACTATCAATGTTCCTCCCAGCTGGGAGAGGACAGCGGGACTCCAGCAAAAGTTGTCCAATTGTAGTGTAGACATACCAGACCCAGCATTCATGTAGGGGTTGCTGTCTGAATGACAATGGGAGCTTGGAGCATACTTCAAATAATTCAACTGTTTTCATAATATGGAATTAGATTCGGTTCTACTTATTTATTAAAGGAGTATTTGCTTCATAATCAAACTACTTGCGCAAGCTTGGTCTTCTTGTGCTAGGGTGGTACACTTGATGAGGATTCCGTTGCTCCGGGGCCATCTGGACAGAGACTTGCTCCTGAGAGGCTCTCTGGCAAACGCCTACAACACTTCCGTACTTTAATGACAGCTGCAATGCGTGCGGCCTTCAGAAGGCCACGCTCGGAAATGTTCTGGAGCAGCGTCGTGGACATGGCTTGCAACAAGATTGGCGTGTAATTAGATGGTGCTTTTCGTCGGGTTTCCGCTGCAAGCAGATTTGCGTAACACGTACTTTTGTCATTGACGCTCAAGGCTGCGTATTCCGCAGCAAGAGGCACTGGTCAACAAAACAACCCAAGACGGTCTTCTGCTTGCTCAGCAAGGTTGCAACCATGTCGCATAGGTCCAAGCGCTCTTCAATTTCCGCCCGAGCAAAACTATGCTGAGCTGTGCGTCATGGGTGGGCTCCTGCCAGCCCACACTGGTTCCCCCCGCCGGGCGGGGGTCTGGGAACCAAGCCACTTGGGCTCTTGAGCCGCGGTCGCGGATGCATTCCCCTGGGCCAAGTCCAAGAGCTATGATAGGCCATGCTATAGGTATCAGGGCATCACAGCAAAATACTGATGGCCATGAACTGAGCGTGTTCTGCTCCTCTCCCTCTCTCGCTCTCGACAGCTCTCTGTCCCCCCTCGCTCTCTCCCTTTCTCTTTCTTTCTTTCATCACATGTTCTTCTTTCTTTCTCTGCTTTACAGGGCTCTCTCTGTCGCTCCTCTGTCGGTTTCGCGGCACACTTTTGCTCCTTGGCATCAAGTCAAGCACAGAGCGCGTTCGCCTGTCACACCGGCAAACGAAAGCTATGAAATCATGTTCCACAGGCACCCAGTCGCGCTTCAGTTTTTAGCCATGGCTGGCAAAAACACAGACTGTCAATTTGACACTTGGGGCGCTCGTGCTTAGATGCTCGAGCCTTTGTGCAGGCATTTGAGTGGCGGCCAAAATCCTTCACTAAGTTCAATGCTACTGCTATGAGGAAGTCGGACGGTCGCCTATTGATGTTCTGTGTTCTGAAGTTAAACATAGTGTTACGGGTGGTCCACTATCGGTTTGGCATGCGTTTGCTGATTTTGCTAACCCGGGGTGCACCGAACACTACTGCATGATTTTGTCGGATAGTCATATCCAGCCTAACAAAGTCAAGAGCGCAACACATTGATGCTTAAACTCATCGGCCATATTGTGAGTGGAGCCTTCGCCATGTAATGAAAGCTTGGAAGTGGAGGATCTACGCTCTCATGGCTCTCTTTCCGCGCCTCTGCCTCGCCCCGGCGGGCGCCGTTTGGGCAAGGCTTCTTCTGGCTGAACCTGGTCGCAACACTCTTGGTCGGTTCCAACTAAATGTCCTCCTGTGGTGAAGCAAATAAACATAAGTGGATCACTAGTAGTGCTAGAAAGAAAGGCTTAGGCTTTGCTCTCCTATCTGGCAGCAAATGCCCACTTATCGATAACTAGACCCCAAACAGCCAATGTCCAACAGGTGGCATGGGCTTGGTATGGCTTGCTATGGCTTGGTATGGCTTGGAAGCTTTCTTTCCGCTTGTTATCTGCTTGGAGCCCACCATCTGCCACGTTTGATAGTGTCCTTGACCAGTCTGATCTGATCTGAGCGCCCATGCACTTGTCAGAGAAGAGTAGGCTTACATGGCTCAGGCTCAAACGATGGTACACAAAACGCCCCCCTTCGTAAATGGAAACAAAGACTACCTCATCTCCTTCATTTTGAGCCACGCCCCTATGAAACAATAGATAGATCAATCTTCAGACAGCCAAAGGACAGGCTGGCTCATGCCTTCCCAGCCCGAGCAAATTTGTGCATTCAAATGGCAGGCCTCCGCCCTTCGCATAGTGTGCCAAGTAACAACCAGTCACGTAACATCTGGCCTGTGAACTTGTTTGTCGACCCGGTCGAACGCTGGGCTGACAGCTTCATCAACCAGCCGCTCGGCTTCCAGCACCTGTGACTCGACGCAAATGGCTGGGTAGGGTCTGATGGGATCTCGTGAAAACTCTGGCGTTATGGTTCCTTTGGGGCCGCGAAGGTAGATTCCTAAGGGTGGCTTCACTACCATGATTCGTTTTTAAGTTCATACCTGTAAAAAAATCGCCGGCTCGAAATTTTGCAGGTTAAAGCTACACATAAAAGCGTGCGAGCGATGGTCTTCACGCTAATCAGCATAGGTTTATCTGCGCAACGCAGAAAATGAACAGTTGCCTCTTCAATTCCTTGCGCTCTTGCAACGGAATAATCCGCCGACCCCTTGTCTGCAAGGGCGAGGCACATGGGAAGGGTGTCATCATCAACATCATCATTATCATCGACACCCATCATCATCTTCATCATCATCATGATCATCCATCATCATCATCATCATCAGCATCATCACCATCATCAGCATCACCATCGTCATCATCATCATGATCATCATCTCACACATGTTGCTCTGCGCTGGTTTTGGTTAGGGGTTTTGAATCGAAATCAGCATCATCATCATCATCATCAGCATCATCATCATCATCAGCATCATCATCATCACCATCATCAGCATCAGCCTCCTCATCGTCATCCATCCATCATCATCATCATCTCACACATGAGCAACAATGCACTGATTTTGGTTAGGGGTTTTGCAATCGAAACCAGGCAGCCCAAATTTTCGTAGTGGGAGACATGGTGCGAAAGCCAATTACATGGCAACTAACATTAAGACCCCATCTCCCATGCTCGGCTCCTGCAAGAGGTGCTGGGGATGCGTAGTGAAAATGCATTCCATTACCTACCTGAAAGCTGCAGGCAAGTCGATTCCGTAAAGACCCTCAGCCGAGCATTACACATACAGAGAGCACAGGGCTCTGTCAATTACGCTTGCAAACCAACGGGTGATGCGCCAAAGAATTGAAAGAGATGTGGGTGTGAACTCTATCGCGGGACATCATTTGGGTGGGGTTTCCATGTCCACCAACGACTTTTGAGGTGACCTGTGCTTTGTACTTGAGGTGTCTAGCGCCCATGTCCGCCGACCCCAGGTCTGCAAGTATCATCTGATTTGAGATGCAAAAGATGCGCCAACATTATCATAGTGATGCTGAGGATGCAAAGTGATGATTGTCATACTGATTCATCAGCACCAGCACATCATCATCATGGCGCTCATCATCATCATCATCATCATCTTCGTCATCGTCCTTTTTCATATTCGTTTCAAGTGGGTAATGCTGAGGATCCATAGTGATGATTATCATCCGTTTTGAGATGCAAAAGATGCGTTGTCATTGTGATCATCATGACTGCTGGTGATGCTGAGGATGTCTCATCTGGTTTGAGATGCAGAAGATGCGCGGGCATGATTATCATCATGCCTGCTGGCATATCGATTCATCATCATCAGCATCATCATCTTCTTTGGCGTGGACATGATTACCATCATGCCTGCTGGTGGTGCTGAGGATGCATCGTGATGATTGTCATATCGATTCATCATCATCATCATCATCATCATCATCATCAGCATCAGCATCAGCCTCCTCATCGTCATCCATCCACCATCATCATCATCATCATCATCATGATCATCCATCATCATCATCATCAGCATCATCATCATCATCATCGTCATCATCTCACACATGAGCAACAATGCACTGATTTTGGTCAGGGACTTTGCGATCGAAGTCAGGCAAACCCAAACCATCCCGAGCTGGGTTAGGGATTTTGCGATCGAGACTGGCTAGGGGTTCTGCAATCGAAATCGGGCAGCCCAGATTCTCCTGATTTTGGTTAGGGATTTGATAATCAAAATCAGGCAACCCAAATTTTCGCAGTAGCAAACATGGTGGGCAAGCCGATTACACGGTAACTACCGGCATCGTTCCTGCAAGAGATGCTGGGGATATCATCAGCATCATCACCATCATCATCATCATCACCGTCATCATCTCACACAAGAGCGAGCAACAACGGACTGATTTCGGTTAGGGATTTTGAAATCGAAATCAGGCAACCCAAAAGCTAGTGGACCAAGACACACAACCCAGAACCTGCATCCTGAAACTCAGCTTTTGCAGGCCTGGCGGATTGCAAATTTAAATGTTGGCAGAGGCTCCAGAGTGTGCAGTTCTGACCGGGGCCTGACTAGCACCAAACAACTTTGCTTTTGGGATGTCTCTGATTTTGCAGACGGTTGGCATCAGAGTTGGGAGAAACTCTTCAAATGGTGATGCGCCGAATCGTGGAAATCACGTTTTTGCCAATTTGCAATCAAATGGATGTCATTAGGCTTACTTGGTAAAAACCATACTTGATCAAGCGTGTCAAAGCAATGAACAAGCCTGAAACTCTAAAAAACACGTTCAAACACACAAGCAAATATGGCGAGAGTTTAGAGTTCAGCCTTGTACTTTCGTATATGGTCGGTGTCCGAAAACCAGCCGGGGCTGCACCCGTGCGCCGCCGACCCTCATCACTTGGTCGTGATGCGTTGCCTGAATCCGGCACTTCTGCATCACCAGCTCGGGCTTGCGGTTTTGCCTGTTTGTGGGAAACCCTCGTGTGAGCAGGGTTTAGGCCGTGTGGCTGGCGTCATCAGGGTCTGGAGTTGGGCCTGGGTGATGCTTCAGCGGGGCTTGGTCTGCATCATCAAGACTTCCTTCCAAAAAGCCTCTCAGCCCATGAAGGACTGTTTTTTAAAAGGTGCCGAAGGGATTTAAGCAAGGCTCATTTTCGCGCATTTTGGCGCCAAGGGCATGCCGGCGATGCTGGGCGCTCGCTCTACAAAACGCCGCAAGTACTGTCAAAAACTGCTATGCTGAGCATTGGGCTGTTGCTCTGTCCCTTTTGCTTTTGTTGTGGCTGGTTCGTGCGCTGCGCGGCCCTTGCTTGTTCCCCGTTGGTTTTCGCGCCTTCTGGCAAGCGCACGCGCGCGACCCCAGCCACAAAACGCCGCTATTTACGTTTCCGGGCTGGCTTCCGGGCTGTTCTTTTTGGGCTGCTCGTTCTGGGGCCTCTGGCGCGCGGGCGCGACCCCGTGTGAACCTTCTGGGCTTGGGCCGGCTGAGGCCCAGAAAGCTGGCATCCCCGGCGTCATCTGGGGTTGGAAGTGCCCACACGCACAACCTAACCAGCCATGTCACAGCACAGGATGCGTCCCTCATACAAAAAACATGACATGACGTGGTATAACTTCAAGGAGGTGTTGCCGGCTAGAGGCCGCAGGCCCAAAAGATAACTTGATGACCGATGCGGCGAGTGGCTGCTACATGAAACTGACACTATTTCAGTCCTTCACCGTACCCACTTGCGTCACCCTTGTCAGCGGCTGTTGAAACAGAAATGAACCGTTTATTTCCTTTAGATACGTTACAACAGTTGTTGAAAAAACTTCGGTTGGTGTTGACGCAGTTTGCGATTGTAAGGCCTCAGTTTCAAAGGTAGCAGGAAAAGTACCAGGTTCAAGGATGCAAAGCACTCTGCATATAGGCTGTCATCAAAAGTATAGACTGATGATTGCTGGTGATGCTCAGGATGCATCGTGATGATTATCAGCCGAATTGAAATGCAAAAGATGCGTGGACATGATTATCATGATGATTGCTGGACTGTTACATAGTTATCATGATGACTGCTGGACAATTATCATCACAGTCATCATCCTTGTCACCCTCGTCGTCAATATCATCATCATCATCCTCGTAGTCATCACCATCTCTTTCTATACTGTACATTTCAAGTGCGGCGTTAGACACGTGGACATGCTTATCATGATGACTGCTGGTGATGCTGAGGATGCATTATGATGATGATCATGGACAACCTGGTTGGTCCTGCCAGCGGTCCGCGTGACGCTCAGGATGCGTCATGATGCTGATCTTCCGATTCGTCTTGAATCTCATCACCATCATCTTCTTCTATCACCATCATCACCATCATCGTAGTCATCACCATCTCTTTCTACACTATACATTTCGTGGCGGTAGAGAGCATTGGTGCTGCAGAGGATGCGTCGTCATGATTATCATCATGACTGCTGGTGATGCTGAGGATGCGTCATGATGATTGTCATGCGACTTGAGATGCAAAAGACGCGTGGACATGATTATCACGATGACTGCTGGTGATGCTGCGGATGCGTCATGATGATTATCATGCAACAGATGCGATAAACTGCCGCGAAGTTTCGCAGGAAACATAGTTGTTTTTGATTTTTGCCTCGAAAAATGTAGGCGGCAGGATTGCCATAATGCAGGGGATGCAGGTTGTGCGGAGGCCTCTTGTCAGTCACACCTGGCACGCAAAGCACATTTGGCAGCTTCAACTCGACAATGCCCGCTATTGCGCACAGCTGCTGTTTGCAGAGCACGTTTCCTGCTCGAAGGGGGAGGCGCGCGGGAAGGAGAGGCGTTTCGAAGGCGCCGCTGGATAAGGCGCGACCCGTAAGCTTGGTTACGGGCCACGCTTCACGCTCCAGGGCGCGTGCAGGACAAATTTGCCGCCAGGAAGCGTGTTAGTGACAGGAATGCGCGCTGCACGAGCATTCTGGAAGACCGGGTATAAGGCGACCCGTAAGCTTGGTTACGGGTCACGCTTCACAGTCTCTTCACATTCACACTTGTCTTCATATATTCTTCTGACTTTCTTCATACTACACATGTTCTCTTCGTCTATTCCTCTTTTCATATTTCATTTACGATCCAACATCTCCTTTCTACGATCCACCCTCACACTGGGAGCCATGCGCACGTACCGATTGCGGGACACATGCGAAAGCGCAAATGACCCATGCCTTGCAGCGGTCTAGGGGTGTCTGCAGGGCCAAGCGGCGGGCGAGCCAAGGTGGCAGACGCGCGCTGGGCGCGGCTTAAGGGTGTCTGCGGGGCCGAGCGCTGGTCGCAATCTGGGAGTGCCTGCAGGGCGGAGCCGCTGGAAACGCAAAGCGCTAGACACACGCTGAACGTAATCTAG